CAAGATATCCTGCAAATGCAGGGAGTATGTGTTCCCCACTGCAAAGAATTTTCTAGCCCAAATGTGTAAATATTGAAAAGAAGTGAGAATCTGTATCTTTTTTTAGATTCTCAAACAAATCAAGGAGTCCACAAAGATTAGGAATTACTATTTCAAATTGACCCAATCCTAGTTCATATCTCCTTATTGATAATGTGACCTGCAACAATCCTTTTAACTTTCCTGATGCTTCATTTCTTGTTTTACAAAATAGGACAACAGTCCCCAATGTATAGGGTTATTATAAAGATTAAGCTGTGTAGTCTACATAAAGGATTTAGCTCAATGATTATATGAAATAGAAATATGTAAATAATTGTTGTCTTAATAATTATGATGCCTTTAATTATCACTGGGACTCTGATTTTAGAAGCATCATAGCATCATGGGTACATGTCCCCTTAGAGACTAGGGGACTGGGCCATACCAGCACCCCTTGATAGGTCACTTAATATCTCTGAGCCTCCATTTTTTCTCTCTTTATTAGTGGAGAATGATATTTATGTCACAGTGTTGTGTGAGAAATAAATGAGAGAACACATGCAAATTTTCTGTACAAGACCTGGTCTGTATTAGGTGTTCAGTAAAAGGGAGATATGATACTCAAACACCATGTCTCCTAGCTCATTCCCCCTACTGCACTGGGACAGGTTAGAACAGGTGAGTGTTGAATCTATCCCAGGACATGGAGGAGACCTAAATCTCATACCGGTTTTTATTTGTCATAAAGTACTCCAAGAAAAAGTATGTTTGTCTCAATTCTCTTCTTCTTTTTACTATTTTTTTCCTCTTTGAAGCTTCCTTTTCTCCCTCCTAGTTTGCGTGTTGATGGACTAGGGGTTGCCAGATATGAAGGGCATAGCTGAAGTTTTTTTGCTTCGGGGTCTGATGGTAGTAGAGAGGGAAGTGTCATAATCCGTGTGGACTGCTGTGCCAAACCACAGGCTGGGTGCCTTATAAAAACAGAAACTTGTTTCTCATAGTTCTGGAGACTCAGAAGTCCAAGCTCAAGGTGCCATCAGGTTCAGAATCTGGCAAGGTGCCCCTTCTAGGCTGAAAGATGGTAGACTTCTTGCTGTAACTGCATATGGCAGAAAAATGAGGAACCTCTCTCTCTCAGGTCTGTCTTGTGAGGGCACTGATGACTTAATCACCTCCCAAAGATCCTCACTTCCTAATAACATCATATTGGGGATTAGGATTTCAACCTTTGAATTTGGGAGGAAAACATTCAGCTCACAAAAGATTGTTTTTTTTTTTTTTTCTTTACCAAGCACAAGCATGCCACAGAGGACTGTAAGTGGATATCGTAGAATTGCTGAGTAACATCCCTGGATAGTTGAATTCATTTAGGTAAAGACAATTAATGATAGTATTTTCATACCTAATTATTTACTGGAGAAGAAGAGGAAGAAGAGAAAACCATGAAAAGCTACTTTTCTCAGTTAAAATCATTCTAAATCAAAATAGACATGTGCAATTTTGTGGGATAGTTGATGAGTTGAGTAATGGATTCTTCACTGAATCAACTTCACAACTTCATTTAGATCAAGACTAGACATGGATGTTTATGTGTGTGTGTGTGTAGGTGCTTGGTAGGCTGATCCTGCCCTACACACTCCTGCTTCCTTTCCTCTGCTATCCCCAGAACAACATCCTGTCTTCCCTATTGTCTGTCATCTGTGTCATCTGACTCTGGCTTTCATATAGGGTTCCTTTCCAGGAAATATCTCATGGTATATTGACCTCTGTGGGTTTGTAAGTTTTGTGCTTGGAGATTTATCCCTGTAGGGATGGTTATTGCCATCTATGGAGAAGATAGAATGGTTAGTAACTAGGGAATGCTGAGAAGTCAGGACTCAGGCTATTGTGATCTAGCTCTGACCTTAACTAGCTGAGCAAATCCTAATCTATCTGCCTTCTCTTAAAAGGAGTTTGATAAGTGCTTTCTCATCCTCTTTGGACATCACATTATTTATCTGTAAATGGAAGAGGTTGGATGAGATGACCTCAATGGACCCTTCTAGCTCTAAATTTTGTGATTATATTCTAAATGTTAGGACAACATGGTGCTTACTGGCATCACCATTAATGAAATTACCCATCATTTATCTTACAAAGGAAAAGCACACACCAATGCAGCAGACCATCCAAGCCTGAAAATGAGAGTGTATGGATTTTTATCACATGCACAGCTCTCCAGTGACGCTTGTGATGAATGTGAATGTCTTTTTGGGAAAAAAAACACACACACACACATGTGCCAGCTACTGTGGGATGACCTGACCTGCAAACACTTAGCTCTCCTGATGTAGTTCTGCATGCTTGAAACTTGAAATGTAGCTGAGAATGAAAATTTGTGCCCAATACCTGTTGGTATGAGATTATTTTACCCCCCAAAATGCTCTTATGTGTCCTTACCTTTTGTCTAACTCTTCACTCTGACCTTGCAGAGAACATTCACAGGAGTTTACCAGGTGGGATCTCAATCAGATTTTATTCCATCAATTCTTTCTCTTCCTCATTCCTGTCCTAGAAGACAAGAACTTCTTCCAAGACTAAGCCTGTCCAAACCCAACTCTAGACCTCACTTGCTGTTAACAAAACAACGATCTTCAACACATCTGCTTCCTCCCCCTTTTTAAAAATCACACCCCCATCTTCAGTTATCCTCAAAAGATTTTTAGTAACTGCCACAGCTGCCTTCTCAAGATTCAGTCTGATATTATCCTGCCACTGAATGCCAAAATAGAGCAGAATAATTTCTCATTTCACTAAAATTGTTTTTGTTTTACCCCATTTCATGCAGCCTTAATCTTCTTTATCTGTTTCACTTCAAATTAGATGACAGAAATGAAGAGCTTTCCTTCTTGTTTTGCCTTTCCCGTAGGCCTCATTTCTAGACTTGCTCCAAATAGCCAAGTAAAATGGTAAAGTAGAAAGATTAACAAGAGGAAAGGAAGGGTCACTGGCCAAGGCAGTTCACCCAGATGGTCCATGTCTCTGATTCTACATCCTCCTCAGTCTCTCCCTTGGACTTGCCATCTCAATTTCTTCATCGGCCGCCATGTTCTCCTTGGAATGCTCTCCAGTGGCGGCACGTGTGGTGTGTCTCCGCAAGGACCTGAGCTCTCCAAGTGAGCTTTCCACATGCCCTCCCTCTCCCCACAGCCAGCAGAGGAACTTCCTCTGACCATCTGCTACTACATTAGACAAAGTTTATCAACTTGTCCACAGGATTTCTCTCCCAAAGCTGTGGGGTTCATTTCCATTGTTCATTGTATGCCTGGTTTTCTCATTTCTTAGCAACATTTTTTTTCTTTTGCATTTCATTCTTTCAGTTTAACCTGGATCCCAGATACTTCTAACCACAAAAACTCTTTAATATTTTCCTTTCCCTGTTTTAATGTTGCATAACCATAGTCTAGAGGCAAGTAACAAAAATTCTTTTCTTCCTTCCATTAGGAATTATTTATGTATGTATTTATGCATTTATTGCTATTGAAGTTCCAGTGTTCCACATCCTTTGCAGGGTTTTGACAGTATAGGGTTTCCCCCATTGCATATAGTCACTAGCACTCCCACCACCTAAGCAACTATATAGTCCTCCACCAATGACGGAGCCTGAAGATGGGGGGACAGGGAAAACAAGAGGAGCTCTAATGGAGACTGGAAAATCAAGATTCATGAAGCTCAAACTTCATCAGTTGGTCTCTCACTTACTTTTGTGATTTGGAACAGTTATACCACTTCCTTTCCTCAGTTTCCCCTTTTTGTGAAATGTTAGTAAAATATCAATCTACTTAACTTCAGTTCTATGAGAATCACTAGAGATAATTGATAGGAAACCTCTCCGAGAAGGTGAATTATTCTACAAACCTGTTGTTGCTGTTAAGTTTATTAACCTTAACAGGGTAGTGTAACTTTCCTAAAACTCTTATCTGTGCTCCTAACAAGAACTCCCCACCCTGGTGTAAAACGGGCATATGGTACATCTCACATCTGACTATAGATATTGTAAGCAATTTTCCTTTCAGGCTACCTGTTTGTGGAGATTTTCTGTGGTCCCCCTAAGTTCTTCGGTAGCCAAAGCTGGCATCCTGTTTGCAGTTAATGCTGTGGTACTCTAGTTTGTGAGAAACCTCTAGCTAAAGATGACCAGTACCTAGCAGTGATTTAGACTAGAAGCCAGTCTGCCTGGCCGTACTCTGAAGTCTAGGTGCTTTGAGGTATGACGTGCTCCTTCCTGAAAATCCTGGGTAAAAGTAATCATCAGCCAGTTTTCATGCAAAAACAAAACAAAAAACAAACAAACAAAAAAAAAACTGGCATTCCCCTCTGTCAAGCTTTTCTGCCAGAAGACATCAGCACAAATAGGTCCTTCACTATATTCCCCTGTGTTCTTTTGCAGACTAGCAGACTAGCAACTTTTGGTTGTGTTAGAGAAAATTACATGAGAAATTTTTTCAGCACTATCAAAAGAGCTAGCAATGAGTGTAGGAGACACACTGCTTCTGTCAAGCATGGGTATTTAAGCATGATGTCTTTCTGTACCTGAAAATGCAAACCCTTCTTGCAAAGGATATGACTGCTTCTTTTTGTTTACAAACCCCTTTTGCTTGAGTCATCAACATGATTGAACGCAACACGAGGAAATGGCAGAATCTGGGTAAGTTAACAAGATTGCCAAAGACTTAGGTAAGCGGCACTAGACAAATGTCTACATTATTACAACTGGGGCCGCCAAGATTTCTAAAAAAATACATTAGCACAATTTATTATTGTTAGTATTTGTGACTATTTGATAAGCTCCAGAGCCATTTTCTGCCATAGAAAATAAATCATTCCAAATAGCTGAATTTTTTTTTTTTTCATTTTTAAACTTGAACTTTCCCCTGAAACTGCCATATGTCATCACCATGCTTTTCTCTGCTGAATACTGCTCTCTCTCCTTGCCCTAGGATGGTCGTCTGCGGATGAATGACCAGTTGATTGCAGTGAATGGTGAATCTCTTTTGGGAAAGTCCAACCACGAAGCTATGGAAACACTGAGGCGATCAATGTCTATGGAAGGAAACATACGAGGGATGATCCAGTTGGTGATCCTGAGGAGGCCAGAAAGGCCAGTGGAGGTGATGCCAGCTTTTATTTCCCATAGAAAATTGCCCAAATGGTCATCAGTATAAGCAAATATCCATCACTAGGGTGTGACTCATATTGATTCTGAAATTAGAAAAAATATACCCAGAAAGACTCTGGTGGATGTGTGTGGCAGACAGGTATGTATGTGTATTTTAGGTATAACTAGGTGTTCAAATGTCCCTAAGTAACTTATTAGATATAACACATTCATATAGTCTAGATTTTCCCCAGAAATTCTTAGAGCTTTGAACTTTATGAATAAGACTTTATTCACATAAAAAAGCCTTAAAGCTTATAGAATCTTATATACTTTTTGGCTGATGTGCTAGCAATGTCTATAACTTAGAAAGTTCTTAACCAGAAGGTTGCAATGTTTAATGCATTAGCTCTTCTATTCTCCCCCATAATCTGTATGTGGCTAATATAGACATAGGGCTTAGCAAATTTAAAATTTGATTTATTAAGCAAGCTACTTGCTTCATGTTATTAAATAAATGTTCTTTATTTAATGCTTGTAAACATTTGTAATGATTCTTTTGCATTTTTTAAAATAAGGAATATTTTTTACTTATAAGTGATAGGTAACAAAATATTCTTGAGTGCTAATATCCTTAAATATTTCACTTAAACACTATTTTATTTATAAAAAATACAAAATATTATTTAAGTGTAATTTTCCTTATATATGAATAATTATTATTAAATGCTCCCAAAAATTACCTTAAGAAAGGTAAAAGAAGAGTGTAAAAATCAGTAAATCACACATATTCTCTAATGACAAATAATTTTTGTGGTGTGCATTAATGTGCAAGTATAAAAAGAAATAAAATATATGAATATAAAATAATGAATTCAAGTTAAAAGTCAAAAGAGAAAGGATTTGCAAATTAGACAAGAGTAGAAGGGAGTTGCGACTCAGACTAGTTAATAATTTGGAGTCTATAGTTTTGGATTATGTAAGTTAAAATCTCAGGTTGGCCATTTTCTGGCTTGGTAAAGTTATATATAGATGAGTGCTCATTACTTTCCGATGACGGATAACTGTTTTCTGCTTTCTTCCTTAATGTATCTTCATTTCCTAGCACATAATAGACACAATAAAAACGTTATATCTGAAACCTACTTTGTCTGAGAGGGTAAGAAGAGGTAGTAAACTTATATACTCTATGCTATTTTGTTATGTTATCAGCTACTGGAAAGGAGTAAAGGTACCTTTTTACTCTTCTGTACATAACCTTGTAAATGTTAAACAAATGTAAATTGGCCAATTACTGAACACTATAGGTAATGAGCCAACTTGTTTTAACATTTGTGGCTGCCTAAGTGACAGAAAGGCATCTATGAATATTTAATAGATTTTACTTATGTACACACTTACAAAACCTTTATCTATTGCTTCCTATCCTAAGAGAATTAGCTCCTTTCTGGTTTAATTTGGTTCTTATGCAAGAGCCCTGGAATTCCATGGAAACTTGTTCTTGGAGAATGGTGTGGAAGGTGCCTATGAAGCCCTAAATCACTGGTACATTAGATTTCCCTGAGGGTTTTAGGAACAAAGGTGCCTCAAATAATAGAAAAGTCTGGAAGACACTGTTCTAGAGTTCTATCCCTTTGAGATTATAAAAGAAGGAAATGAGAGAGGAGAAGGAAGGAGGGAAGGAGAAATGGTAGGAGGGAGGGTGGATAAGGTTGTTAAGAGTTACCTCAACCTCTCATTTTTCCTAATTTCACATAGTTCTCTAAAGGAGGAGACATAGTAGACAGGTGTTCTTTATTTTGGCTCATTGAATTGAGACATTTTATTATTTGTATTCTCTTTTAGTGTGGGTATTTTTGTTTTATTTCTCACACTCTGGGATAAATTGACAATTATTCCATTAGAAGAAACTACTAAACTTACAGTTCTTAGCCTATCCTCAGAAGGGTCTTATTAATATAGTTCACTAGGGAATCAATTGGGAATAAGAAATGGGACAGAAAACAATTTTTATGAGGACATTTAAACAAGATCCATGTTTAACTTCCCTAATATTTACATGTTTTCCATGGGGATGAACAGGCATTTGCCTCTCTCAGCTATTGAGAATCTCTATGGTACTTGTGAAGATTAAAGATTTTTTTTTTTCTTATAAAGGCAGTGGCCTAAGGTACAGCTAATCTTTATTAAATTGGAGAAAATATGCAGCTATTTGATCTCCCAAATCTGTATTTTACTGTGTCAAAGCATATGTTTTGCACTCATATTTTTGGTGTATTCTCCTGTGGAACAGCAGTCCCCCTTAGGTACAATAAAAAAGCATATGTAACCTAGAAAAAAGATCTCAGTACTACTTATATATTCAAGCAAATCAATTAGTTAGATTTGGCAAGAATACCAAAATGGTTACTTGAACATTATATTGATACAGAAAATTGAAAAAGCTACTTAAGAAAAGTCAAAATATATAGTTGTTGGAGTATTTTCCCACATTACCCAGATGTACAAGATACGTAAACAGTTTTGATGAGGACCTGGTGAAGAATACATAATGAGTCCTTGATTGAATCAAAATCATTTTAAGCAGAAACATGTTTTTCAAAGGATGAGCTTGAGGTTCAATTGTAATTCTATTTAAGCCCAGAGACTTGGTATTAAAAAATGGGTTATGACCTGATTTTTTTTTTCTTCCCTTTCCCAAAACATTTTCCTCCCTGCTACAAGCTCATCTTGGTAGAAGCAGAATATGTTTAAAAATCCATTATATTTTTTATTGGCTGGGACACTAATGGAGGGCTCCACGACAGCTCTATTTTACAGGCTGAATACTTTAATTAGGCTGGTTACTGATCACTTGTTGTGATATCGATTGTGTCATTTATCAAAGAGCTGGGAGAGCAGAATTTTTTTTTTCTCGTTGTTGTTAAACCAAAGCACAAGGGTGTGCAAGGTAAGTTCTACCTCTGCTGTCTTTGAAGGCTCCAGTTTTAAATTAGGCATTGTTTGCCTCAGTATCAGCCTTGGTTTCATGAACAGTATGGAAGAAATGGGTAACACTGGGTGGGGAAAAAGTGTTGGAAGTGTTGACAAAAAGAGAAAGGACCTTCAGCAGCTGAAAACATTTTTATTAAAAAAAAGGTATAAATTGAATGTTTTAAATGTTTGTTTGTTTTTTTTAAACAAACAGGATACTCAGATGTTATAACCAAAGAGGAAAGCATAAAGCAAATGCTTTTCTCAGAAAGAAAGAGGCCTGGGGAGCAGATCTGCGTTTCTGTTTGTGGCATGTTCCTCTCACAAATGGTTTAGTGCCCAGCCATGAGATGTCTTCCAAATGATGTCCTTAAAATCTGGTCAGAACACAGATAATATGAGCAAGAACAATTCCCACTTCTCTCTGCTTCCATTCTCTGGAATAAATAGCCAGAGCCCCTTTAATTGGCCCCTCCTATACCTCTTCAGCACCTGTGGAACATGGCTTGTGGGGGTGTTATTCTGGATACAGCAGTTTTTAAAAAACTGTGAATTTGTTTACAGACTGTTGGAATCAAAACAGGAGGGGAAATCATGGGGGGGGGGGCAAAGAAAAAAATCTCAGGAGAACCACTGTCTGGCATTGTCACAGCAGTTTGTTTTAACTCCTGGCCAAAAGACCCTGTGTATGTCACAGGACATACTCGTGGCATTTCAGTGGCAACCTGCTTGGGCTCTGACTTGTCCTAGAGCATATGCACTCAGTCGCCGAGGGGGAGAGAGAGGAACCAGCTGGTTGGCAGAGAAACACCCTTGGCATGAACTGTATTCTTGTGTTGACACTGCCACAAGCTGTACTCCCAGATGGAAGGAAATTTGAAGAAGCCAGTCGTAAGTGGGGGAAAGAATAATAAAGTTAATCCTCTTTTGTGCTGGCTATCAGCACGCCTAATCCTTAGCACCACATTGTCAGTATTTTTTATTTCATATTCAAAGATGCTTTAACTGATAGGGCCATTTTGATTTTCCACAGTGGAGGGCTTATGTGCAACAGACTCTTGAAAGATTATTCCTAAACCAATCATTCTTTTGCTGCACTTCCTTTGACCAAGTTGAAACATATTAAAAAAAGCAAATGTCATTTTTATTTCCCTTCCTTAGGAACCTGCAGAGTGTGGGACCCTCTCTAAGGCATGCCTTGAGAACTGTCAAAACGCTGTAACCATCTCCAGGAGAAATGAGAATAGTGTGTCGCATCCGTTTGGCACTTACAATCCACATGACAAACAGAAAGGTAAGAGTCTCTCGATTTTCATCCACTGCAAATGATGTGAGAAAACACAGTTTATCTTTTTTATTTTTTTAAAAAAGAACAAAATGGAGTTAATTAGACTAAGTGCAGACTTTGTTACTCTGAGTCATGAGCACAAGGAGATGGGGGGGAGCTGACTCAGAAGTTGTGAAGTGTATTCCTGGCACTGCCTCCAGTGTAAGTGACAGTTCTGTGCTTGCCTCTGCCTGCTGCCCCAAACATGGAGGGTTATGTATAAAACAAACCATGTCTGCAGAAGCAAAATGGCAAACTGTTATTTTTGTTTTTGATAATCTTTTGATATTGGAAGTTACCAAGTAGAAATCACTACCAAATTAAAAAAAAAAAAAATGGATGGACTAGTTTTGAACCATAAAATTGTCTTAGCACAATTTGCAGATTTATGCTTGATTCTAAGGTGAGTGTGGTAAATACTGTGGTCCCAGGTCATTATCTGACAGATGGAGTTTCTTGTTATTGTCTTACTACACTGTCTTTCCCTTATTATCTGGTACAGATCACATTTCTAGTAGAGTCCTAGGGGTAAAGAAAACTTGGGTTTTCTTGTTTTTTCAAAAATTGTACTTTAGGTCACTGAGAAAATTGTCTTATTTCCCTCCTATCTCCTTTTTAAAAATAATTTTAATTTTATCGATTAAAAATCAATGCAGGGCCTCCCCGGTGGCGCAGTAGTTGAGTGCTGGGTTGCGAAGCTGCCCGCGGCCTCTGCGGCGCCGGTTCGATCCCCGGCTGCTCCCCGGCCACCGGAGGAGGGTCCCACATGGCGCGCAGACCTCTCCTGCCGCCCGCTGCTCCCCTCAGCAGTGTACTTCAGTCCTTCTGCCTGCTCTGCTTCCCGCTCTGACTCTGGTGAATCCTCTCACCCTCCCGTGCTTCTGACTGTACCCAGTGCATGTATAAACAAAACAAACAAACAAATAAATAAATAAAACATGCCTCTATTAAAAAAAAAAAAAAAGATTTAAAAAAATAAAATAAAAATAAAATAAAAATCAATGCATAGTCATTACAGAAGTTTTAGAGAAAAACAGTAATAAAAAGATATAGTGTCACTCATACATCTGTCAGCTACACTGGTCAATAACATTTATGTGTATATGTGTGTGTATGTGCGTGTGTATGCACACATATATATTCACATTTATTTCAAGTTGGGCCTTCTTGCAAATATGTGCATATAAAATAAAGTGAAAATGAAATATATTAAATATGTTCAGGAAATTGCTGTCCTAATAATAGCACAACATGAACAACTTTGTCATTGAATATTGCACAGCACATATTAGCAGTTGCGTCATAGTCTGTTGGATGCAGGCACTGTATATTAATTGCATACTCAACCCCTTATTTTTTGACACTTAAGGTGTTATCAAAATTTATATGAGAACAGTTTCTAAAATCTGAAATTAATCTGTCAGAACAGACTTGTGAATCTGAGATTCTTCTAGATTTAGATTGTTTTGTCAGAATGTAATGTCTTTTCTTTAAATCCCTCCGCTTTAGTGAGTAGTAGCAATAGCTTGGCCATTTATTAAATGTTTACTGTCTGTTAGACACTGTGTTAAGCAATTTATGTGCACACTCCAAGTGAATAATGTTATTATCCTCGTTTTACAGATGAAGAAATAGAAAGAGTAAATAATTTACCCGAGATCATACATTTGATCCATGAAAAGCCAGGATTCAGTTCTTGTCTCTCTGACTCAATTTCATTCTCTGAACCACAGCATGTGTCCTGTCTTACACTGGTCCCTTGAAACTATTGAAATCCTTTTACCTGATACTAAGAATATTCTTTAGAATCTGACTTGACTTTGCATCCAGATAAAGAAATACTCAGCATGTCCTTTTTCCTCTTCTTAAAGAAATTAAATGTTTTCTTGACAGAGCAATAGCTCCTGAGATCTAAAATCACAGTAACAAGGGGGTCTGGGCAGAAGAGCAAGTATTCCGCAGAATAGAACAGCCTTCTCTACCATGCACACCTAATGATCAAGAACATTGACATCTGTATTAAAATAACTCAGCTCTTTACGATTTGACTGGCATTTAATTCTCCAGAAACATGTGGTCCAGGGCAATTCTAGTTCTGTGTTCTATTCCTAATTATATCAGTGACACCCAAAGGGACATTGGGTGTGTTACTTCCTATCTTATTTAATTTTCAATACCTATAAAATGTTAATGTTGAGGTGATCATTACATAGTGTATTTGTGGGGAACATTGTGATACTCAAGGAAATGGTATATCTCTAGGAAGGATCGCAAAGGCTAACATAGTGAAACTATAAAGCTAGTTAAAATATAAGGCTACACCCACAAACAATGTGTAAATAATAAATTCACTCAATGCAATAAAACCTCGGCGCATGAATAGATCCTTCAGAGTTTGTGTTTCCACTGAACAATTAGAATCCTCTGGGCACAGGTGACCACAGAGAGCCACTGAGAGCTGATGTCTCTTCTCTACCTTCCGAGACGAAGATCCAAGCAGAACAACTTCTACATTAATGAAATCCATGGGGATCAGCTGCCTATCTAGTTTTTGCTATACCCACTCTCCCCACCTGGGTTTTCCAAGGTTGCATAAGAATCCAATTCTTTCAAGAACTCTACCAAATATTAGTTTTAAAATCATAGAAATCTATTATTTCCTGTGGATCTGAGATATATTACCCAGTTTTAAGAATTAGGCCTATTTAAAGCAGAAACTCATTAAATTTTAATAGTAAGAGACCAGTAGATGGAATTCTCTTTTTACATAAGCCTATTGACTTAGAGACAATTACATATATATAACAGAATTTAGTAATATAATGCTATAGATGAATATCATCACCATCATGTCCATGTAATATTAATATCACCTTAAATTTTGGGAACCACTGAGAACTCTGAGTTTTAAATGTATGTCAAGTGGCAATTGGCCACTAAGACTCATGAACCCGCAGTGAGTGTTCACTTACCGCTACCAACTTTTTTAAGGAGCTCCTTTAGAAAAGCAAGATTGACTTGACAAAATGTAATGTCTCGTGAAGAAAGGAACTGTTGTAGCCAAAACATTCACTTTTTTCCTTCCCTTTTTCCATTCCTTTGTATATTTAAAAATCCAATGTTGATATGCTGTGTTCCATCTATTTTTGTAATAATAGTACGTACCACCCACAGTTCCTTGGTTATTTTTTATAGATATACATATTCCTGTCAAGCTGTTACACAGAAAAGGCATTTTTAGAACTAATGTTTGTAGAAATTGTAACACCAGAAAATTCACATTTGTGTTGGAGAATTGCTAGCAATGCCCGCAGTGGAATAAGTATAGTGCTCCAAGATGGTAATAAGGATGGAGGTTGTATCCCAGGGGGTTACTATAAAATCCTATTAAGCATCTGAATGGTAATGAAGTGCACCAACACTGTATTTTCTGAAGAATCTGCTGGCAGATCTCACCCCAGGCCAAGTAATAGCCTAAACATAGTGTGCCTCTGGCTTGTTATTACTTCTCCTTTCATTGCATTCAAGCCCGCATCTAGTGCCCTGCTCCTACTCCCTCTCCCCTTTCAGTCCCAGGTCTGCCAAGGATCACCCACAGAGGTGCCCTTTATGTCTTCCATTCCTACCCTAAGTCAGACATTTTGGTTCTGTGTCTTGTCCAGCTGGATGCATGTTCCCTGGGGTCCTTTGAGAAGACACATGGCAGTATAATTATTCTTAATGCATCCTCTCCTGGGAACAAGCATGGAAGCTACCCCTGTAAGCATGTAAGGCACTACCTCTGGAGCAGTGATGGGAAATCAAATTATACTTTTCAATTTGTCTGCTGTTTATTGGATACCTCCATTGTAGAGAGTACAGTCAGGGATGCAAGGAGGGTCACAATGTTGTTATTGCCCTCAGTATAATCTAAAGCAGAGGTCAGCAAACTTTGCCTGTTAAGAGCCAGATAATAAATATTTTATGCTTTGGGGGCTTAAGATCTCTATTGCAACTCTTCGGCTCTGCCACTGTAATGTAAAGCAGCTGTGGACAATATATAAATGAATGGGTATGACTGTGTTCAATGCAACTTTATGAAAAAAACAGATGGCAGCTAGTTTGGGATTAAGGCCATACTTTGCTGAGCTCTTGTCTAAAGCCGCATCTCTTTTACTCTTCTTTCCCAATTTGACTTTGGTAGGAGACCTCCCATAAAACAAGTATAACAATGAGACACGTAATTAAAATAAGGACTATTTGGTCATAAATGTACTTTCAAAATTCACAGGCATATGTAATGACCATCAGATTTACCTGGTGTACTCAATGAAATCTATAGTTTTGGGGTAGGGGACAGATAAGAATTCTGGATAATCTCAATCATATAGGTCTTCACAAAGCATTTGGACCAAGACAGGAAAAAAATTCCATATAGCATCTGAATATATTGTTTAAAAACATACCAAGGATAAAAAGTGCACAAAGAAGATTTTTACCTCTACATCTATCACTACTTTTAAAACATATAGATTTAAAACATATAGATGAAATGAAACTTAAAACGAATGATTTCTTTTTATAAAGAAAAGATTTATCTTTTAAATAAATCTTAAAGATTTATTTTTTATTTATACAATAGCTGGGGTACAGGCCAGAGGTGCTGGAGGATGAGAGGATTCACCAGAGACAGAGTGGGGAACAGAACAGGCAGACGGTCTGCTGCACCATGTGGGAATCTCCCTGGCTGGCTGGGAATCAAGCCTGCGCTGCAGAGGCTGTGAACAGCTTCACAGCACTGTGCTCAACCCGCCGCACCACCAGGGAGGCCCTGAAATGAATGATTTTAATAAAACTTGAAGTATCTAGAGAAGAAGCTGAAGAGGAAGGAGAGAAGAGGAGGACAAGGAAGTTTTGTTCAGTCAGTAAGAGAAATAAATGTAGACCAATAGAGGATAGATCAGTAGATTGCTTTGTGCAGCATCTGATGCTCATTGCAATATGATGAGTGCTATACAAGACTTATTGTTCGTAGTATTAATTTAATAGATAAACACAAGGAATCAGTGGATGAAAGACAAGGGACTTGTATTCCTGGTTCATACCAATGATATTTGGCAGCAGGAGGAGGGGCTATGCTCCCTGCAGTGACTGACAGAGCCCTTTAGAGGCTTCACTGCCTGTGCCTTAAGTGGTAGATTAGAGAAGGGGGGGGGGTTGTGGTGCACTGTTTCTTAACCACTGAGACCGGGAATGGCATTGCCACAACAACTCACATCCTAGAGCAAGAACTAGACTAGCTACAAGAAATGAAGGGAAATGGAGTCTGACTGTATACCCAGGAAGAAAGGAAGGACACACGGAGGGAGCAGGACTTTTCTCTGCCACAGTCTTAGGATTTTCTCTGCAACAGTGAAGGTTTTATAGAGAAGGTGATAGTTAAGGTGAGAACTTCTCAGGTAGACTAAGAAGTTGACAGTCCAGAAATTAGAGCCAGCAGAAAAGATGGCCCAATATGTCCTGTGTCTCCAATTTACGCTGTGGTCTTTTGTTTCTCTGAGGAAGTCTATGGCAGTCTGATAGCTGTCATATTACAAAACTGCTGCATCACTTGGGGCACAGGGGAGCAGGCAGTGCAGGGGGGCAGTGCTCATCATGCCATTGTCCATCGTATTTCCACCCCCAAGCCTCACTCAAGTTAGTAGTTAGCACTACTAACTAGAACCTCTTCTACTTTACAAAAGTCCTGAGGACAGACCTTGGAGAAAATCCTTGCCCTCAAGGTCTTCAGAGAAACAGAACCATGTGAGTTAGCTCACATGACTATGGAAGCAGGCAAGTCCTGAGATCCACAGGATGAGTCAGCAAGTTGGGGTCCAGAAGACCCAATGGTAGGGTTTCAGTCTAAAGGCAGCATCTCCCAACCTTGGAAGTGTCAATGTTTTAGTTTTAAGTCTGAGGGCAGGAAAAAAAAAACATCTCCTTGTTTGAAGAGAGCCAGGCAGGAAGAATTCTATCCAGCTTTGACAAAGGTCAGACTTTGATTTTTTTAGACCTACAACTAATTGGATGAGGCCCACCAACATTAAGGAGAGCAATCTGCTTCATTCAGTCTCTGGTTTAAACAAAGACTCATCCAAAAACAACCTCACAGAAATACCCAGAAACATGTGTGACCAAATATCTGGACATCTGTGGTCCAGTTAAGTTGGTGCATAAAATTAGCCATTGCACTTGGATGAGGAAATCACAGCAGGCTATTATCAGCAGTAGTTGTCCAGGCAATGTCTTCCATTCCAGAAATCAAGGACAAATTGGATCTGCCTCTTAGGAAATAGCTCACCATAGAAACACACAGTGGATTTATGATCTATAGAATATTAAGCTTTTAATTAGTTAACATTTTGCATTTATGAATCACTGCTTACGTACCAACTCATGTAATCCTTATACTCCTCCAGTGAAGGTATTTTTTTTCTTTTGTAAAGATTTATTTATTTATTTATACAAGCACTGGGTACAGTCAGAAGTGCGGGAGGGTGAGAGAATTCACCAAAGCCAGAGTGGGGAACAGAACAGGCAGACTGACGAAACACACTGCTGAGTGGAGCAGCGGGCACGACAGCAGAGGCCTGTGTGCCATGTGGGACCCTCGCTGGCAGCCGGGGATCGAACCGGCGCTGTAGAGGCTGCGGGCAGTCTCGCAGCCCAGCCCTCAACCGCTGCACCACCAGGGGAGACCCAGTGAAGGTATTTTTTATCCCCACTTTATATAGTTAAAAAATTGAGGATTACATACATTGGATAATTGTCCAGGTTCCACAGCTATAGAAACCATGATTGAAAACCTGGAGGTCTTCTTCCACAAATCTTTATCTTAACTAGGATGCTTTGTGATGCTTTTCATACATTATTAATTATGGACATTAATTGACATGATGCACATAATGCTTAGTATAATTTATATCATGCAGTAAGTATCAATAATCCTAACTTGTTAGTTGTAGTAATATTCAAGATACTTCTCCCCAGAATAGTCTGACAGTGCACCTATTTGTAGGTGAGAAATCTAGAGGTCAGAACCCAGTTTTTTACTTTAAATGCCACAAACCCAAATGTTTTCATGATAGCAGAGATACAAAGAAGAGTATTTCCCCTCCCACTGTATTTCCATGAGAGCAATGTGCTGCATCTCATGAGTTCTTAAAGTACTTTTTGTCACTGAGGCAAAAACTTAAATCACTATTTAGTCCAGAGCATTTATTAGGGTCTTGTTTACAAAAACACGTTAAGGCATAAAAGAGATGACTTCATTACTCTTCCACAAGCATGTGTCAGCCTTTCCTGGGTGGCAAAGGTAGTCAGGATGTAGGGGCTAGGCGTGCAGGGGCTGCCTGTTGGCAACTAGTGTAAAAACATTTCAGTCAGCTCAGATTTCCTCACAGAGGCTACATCAACTCCCACGCGAATCCTTCAGTTCCATATGAGGACAAATTTATTTCAGGGTTGGTTCATGTGTCAATGAAAACTGTCTGAGAGAGGGACGGAATCACAGCCAGGCACTGGAAGGTTCAGTTTACTGCAGGTTCATTATTCTTTGTTTATAGAGCCATTGCTGCCCAATGACGGATGGGCTGAGAGCGAATTACCACCTTCACCAGCTCCACATCCTGTTCTGGAATTGGGCCTTGAAGATTGCAGCCACAGGTATGGATTAAGTGATAGATTGTAAATGTTCCCCATTATGGTTTTCTTGGGAAAAGCCAGTAACCTATTCTAACTCTATTTCTTTCCACAATGGAAACCTCAGTGTATCTATAACTCCTTTGCAGTCAAAGCTTCTCATCACTAATGGCTTCCATTCCTCATATTTTGCTTCATGGAATTCGTGAAGTTTCATCATAGATTAAACTAAGAAAATTGTTGAATTTCCTTCAACCATGTTTAAAACTAGAGAGCGGTTGAACTCAAAGAAAAGTTATATGGGAAAATACAAATCAACTTTAAAAGTTATATGGGAAAATACAAATCAACACCGAAAAGACATAAAGTCTAAGGTGTTTTTTTTTTTAATTTGTAATTGGCAAGCCCTGAAGGTATTTTAAAAATAGATGTTCCAAGAAAGTTAATGAAATATAAAAATTAAAGCAACACTATATATAATCTAAAATATTGAAAAGCATGCCCAATATTATATCCATTCTATAATAGAAACCAAAAGAAATCAATAATTTTTAGAATCACACAAGCATGAGAGAGAGATTTACTAAGCATACACACCATTTGGCTAGTAGAATTCATAGATTTTGTTCTTCTGATGAGTTCTAAAAATCATTAAATTGCCCCTTTGCTATTTTCTGTATTTATTATGGCTGTTAAAAACTGCGTATTTTATTCCATTCTGTGTCCCTTGATAATCCTGTGAAATTTTTTCATTTTTCTTGCAGCAATGCCGGTGTCATTCCTATTATGCCTTTTATCACAATCTGCTAAAAATAAAGTAACACAAGATTATAGCTAACTTTATTAGCTTACCTACATTTAGCTCTTTCTGATTCCTATATTTTTTAAGTCAGCTGTCTTACTCAAATAAAATTTTAAAAACTAAACTGATAATCACAGTAATGTTCTAGATCAGTATCTCTGGAAGTTTCTTGAAAATAATGTGGACATAGTTAATTTTGTTCCTTTATTCCCATTTCCTGCATCAATCCTAAATCAAAAATGATAGTTTGATGACAAAAAGGAATCAATTTTTAAAATAATGTTATTCATTCACTTTACAGTTTATCCTTTATAATTTGTAAAACTATTGGGTTGGTACAGAGATGAATCAGATATACATCCTACCCTCAGGAAGATGATAGGCCAGTAAGTGACAGCTAGAACCCAAGGTACAAAGAGACATTTACCAGAAGGCAGAGATAAAAGTGCTCTAGACCTCTGAGGTAGAAGAGAGTGTTTCCAGATAACGAAGGCAGTGAAAGTGACATTTGAACTGAATAGGAGGTAGACATGAGGTGTCCCAAGTAGGAAGGGCATTTTAGAGAGTGCGAAGAGAAGAAGGAAGCGCATGGACATGGGGAAGTGAACTGTATCACTTGCACCGTGGTTGATTGGTCAGCTCGTAAAACTCTGATGCAGGAATAAGGAAGACAGATATCATTTGGTAGCTCATAAAATCTTACTGTAGAGATTTCAGCTGACATCAACATGCGGAGCCCCATCTTCAATGACTATAGTGTAAATTAGGTAAATGGGGGCAGGAGGGGTCATATCCACTAGATGCCAGAGATGCTTTGGATTCCTTCTGGGGCAATTTCAGTGAAAGTAACTGAGGACCTGTGCTGGGAAGGATGGGAAGGAGCCTTTAGGTGAGACATTTTCAGGTGAAAGAGGAAGTTCAAAAATACTGCAGAGATAGATAGCAGTATACTGCAGCCTTTTTGGCTGCTACAGTGTCTCGCCAGATTTTTCTCTCTCACCTTTTTAGTAAATCATATTGCTCTATGATCTTGATAAAAGTTTATATCAGCCCTCACTCATGTAAATGCTCATTATACAGTGTAAGTCAATAACTTCCATTCCTTTCACCCCTCTCTCCCTAAATCTATTGTTCAAGCTTCCGCTCTCACCAATTTACTTGAACTGCTATCTTAGACACCAATAGTGAGCTCCTAGTACCTAAAAGTAAGGCCTTTTTTTCAGATTTTAGATTTCTCTGCTCTGCAGGATTTGATCATTAAGTCCCTCATTTGCTCCCTCATCCACTCAAAAGTATTTATGGCGCACTGATCTAGGCACTGTAGAAGAGATTTAAATGGAATGGAGCATCCCTGTTCTCAAGGAATGCACTGTCTTCTTGAAGAAACAGACTCACAGATAATTAGGGAGCAGCGTGCTAGTCATCAGATACTAAGCACTGCTGGAGCCCAGAAGAATGAGACTTTAATACTGTCTGCGGGTGTGAGAAGGTTTATCAGGAGAGATATTATTTGTAAAGTTTCTTGGAAGACAGAAAGGAGCCTGCTAGAAACAGAAGAGGTGGGAAGGGCAATTCAGATTGGGAAAACCAAGCCATGGGAGAGGCAAAATGCATGGTGTGTTCAGTAAGGCAGGAGCAGATGGTTTCCTGGGGAAGAATCAACAGGCAGCGCCAGGCTTCTCTGGAGAACAGTGGGGATGTGTTGAAGGGTTTCAAGCCTAGCAGTGATGGTATCAGCTTCAGCAAATTAGTTGGAGAGTATGGAGTGGATAAGGGAAGTCATAGACCAGGATACCAGTCTGAGAGCTGGCAAGCGAAGAGAAGGGTTTGAATGGAGGAGCAGCACAACCAGAGAGGGAGGAACAGAGTCAAAGACTTGTTTGAGATAGAAAGAACAAATCTGATGCTTTGAAACTCTCTCCCTCCTGGGATCCTATGACCTGCACCATCATGCAAGCTGCTGTGTTGCCTAGGTGACCAGCCGCAGCTGGGTTTGAATGTATAAAACTTGGGGTGGAGGAAGGAATGGAAGGGAGCCAGGAGGATTAAGCAAAGGAGACAGTCTTTCAAAAAAAAAAAAAAAAAAAACACTAAAAGGGAAAAGTGGTGCTTTAGGGATGGATCCAGTCTTATGAAACAGAAAACCACTATTGCATGAGGAGCAAAAAATTGATCAGCCTTGACCTTAAACAGAAATTAAATCAGGACTTTACTGAACACATTTGTATTATTATGTCAGTGATTATTAGAGAAAAGTTTAAAATGTGTGTGTAAATAAAATATAAATAATGTGATATCCCAGGAAGAATTTAAGACAAAGCAAATGCAGTCAGAATATATTCAGTTTTATTTGCAGTTTAGGCATTTCTTATTCCCTATCTGTTCATATTTTCCCTCTTGATCCTCTCTCTGTTCTTTGTTTCTCTCTTTGTCTTTCTCCACCCCTTCTTTTGCCTGTTTCCCCCTCCATCTTTCATCTACATGACCTGCACCTACTCTCACGCATAGTAACCAGTTGTTGGAGATTATTCATGGACACCTGAGGCTTCAGACATAATTTTTTTTGGCATGCCCCTCAAAATCTTCTTCTCCTGTCTTTTTATTTGAGACAGTTCTCCTTGAAAATTCATTGCTGGCTCTTCTATGTCTTTCCCATTCCTGATTTGTCACCACATTCAGGACACTGGCATATGTCTCATGCTATCCTTATTTATTCATTATGCAGCATAATTTGACATTGAGTATCATTTCTGTTTGATAGATTCCCTGGTTGTTCATGCTGAAAAACATGGCCTTTATCTGAGACATGTCTTTGGCCTGCTGTCAACTTCCAGCTTCCCAAAGCATCCACTGCAGCCCACTCAGCCATGAGCACATGCTAAGTCCCTTCAAAATTAAAATATGTCATATTTTATAGTTAATCATTGTGTCATTCCCTCACTCCAAAAACCTTCAATATGTAGTATAAAATTATAAACTGTTTTGCTTGTGCAAGTACATGTCTAAAATGTTTTCACATTAATTCATTACTGCTACTTCATTCATTATTTAAGTGCACTATATGGTTAAGTTGGCACAAATCCTGTCATGTCTCATATTATTCTTAACTTCCTCAAAATTTAACCAATCTGATGTCAGCCTTATCTTGCCTTAGTTTCGTCTTGTACTATGGCAAGTGAGGTTCTTCCATGGAATGTGTCAAAGTGTAAACTTGGTCATATTCAAAATAGTGGTAAGAACTGTATATGTCACGGTGATCAATTTAATGGACATTTCGAGGTATGTGTATATGTATATATTATATACATCTATATACACACATACATACATAAATATTGTTACATTCCTATGTATAAAGCTTCTTTATATTTCTTTGATCATCCTTGGTTATATCTCATATCTGTACCAAGAAATCACTTTATTTAGACAGATACTTGATATTATTGTATCAAGTGCCACTGCCATCTTTTATTTTTTAGGTGGGGATAGAGATAATGGCTTACCAAGGGTCAAAAATTTACATTCTTATTCTTAATTTGTTGATTCATGTTTAGTTTGGAAATGAAGTGGGTTAACCAATATGTTACTCATTGGGTAAGTTCCCATAGTCTGCCTGGAGCAGAGCACTTGTAATGCAGTGTGATCTGTTTTAATGAGAAATATTCATGTTGGTCCTAAACCTTCTCCGTAAAGACTTTCATTACAACATGTGGCATCTGTGTTGATTAACTCATGGCTTTCTTTTGTTTCATGACATGCTCCATCCATTGAAACAAAATGTAATATAATATGCAAGTTATAAGTGAGTGAGGGGATCTGCATTAACAGGGAAAAGGTTGATTTCTGTGGCTTCAGGAACAGCCAAGCACTTGCGCCCCTGGCTGATCATCATTTCAGCCGAAGCATCTGTGTCTCTGGGCAAAGCTCAGGAAAGCAGAGTTCTGGTTCTGGCTTTGCCACAGGCCAGCTGTGTGACCTGGGACATCAGCCTCCTCTTTAGGCCTCTGTCTTATCTACAAGATGAGGACTTGCCTGGGGTGACCTTTAGTGCCTTCTGGCTCTTAAATGCTCTGATTCTATGAAGACCATGAGTCTTCCTGACACTAAAGCCACATCATCACAAGAGATCAAAGGATGAAAAACTAAGTGCAAACAAAGGTCAAACAACACATTTAAAGGTTAGTGCCTCTACAACATCAAGGCTCAGGAATAAGCTCATGTTCACAGTGTATCTCAAAATTCTTTAAAATCGGCTGTACCAATTAGGATATTGTTATTATGCCAGGTCCGTGTCAGTAGCATAGAGTCAGAGTTTTCTCTGCCATGGGCATTTTTTTTCCATCACTAGATACCACATCTAGTAGGTTTTATTTGCAATGTGGTCGTCAAATGAGAATGTAGCCAGATACCAAGGAAAAGTCCCTCACCCAAAAGCTTCATAACTCTAAAAAATATATCTAAATTTCTCAAGAGATTTCAACTTCATTGGAGAGTGCCTGAGGTGAGGTCCTCAATCAAAGACCACTCTAGCCTGCAGAAATAACGAAAAGAATTAATAGTTTATTTTTATTGAGCTCTATTATATGTTTGGCAGTATTGTCAGTATTAACATAATTTGTTCAATAATTATCAAAATTTTATAAATTTCTATAAGTACCCATTTTATACGCAAATAAACTAAGCCCAGACACATGGTGTCTCCCTCTCAAGTCCAGTGCCCAAACCATTACACCTCATTATGCTTCCAATGGGGAGAGAAAAGCTCTTACACACAGGCTCCTCAGGGTCTGACAATAAACCAAGACGACAGACTATAGAAAGCATAGCTCACTCCTACACCTACAGTGAATTGGGAAGCAAAGACAGGTCTGTTTCTTTATCTGCTTTCTTTTTGCTAAATGATTCCATAGTATTTACAGTGTGCCAGGCACTATTCTCCTTACTTATAAATCCTGGCTCATGTTGTCTCTTCAAACCTGTGAGATAAAAAGTCTTATTCTACCCATTTTATAGCTGGAAAAATAAAGCACAGAGCAGTTGGCTGGCTGGTCCCACCCCACAGCTAGTGAGTAGCAGGGCCTGGATTCAGTGCCCAACAGCCTACTCTGTCTGTGGCCTTGGCAATGTGCTGGCTGGCATTGTTGCTCCCTGAGTTCACTGACTGTATTATAATAATAGAGGTTCACTCAATCCTTTAGCAAAAGTAATTTTGCTGCATATTAATTTTAGTATTGCTACAAGGCAATATTTTAAATGCATAACTAATGCGTTTCAGGAAAAGATTAAACTTATTTTGACACATTTAGTTAAGCAATTGAGATCCTCATATATTTTAAGATTCTCATTCATAATAATTTTTTTTGTTATTTTATTGTTTAAAGTGTCAAATCCCAGCTGTTTAAAAAATGTAATCTCAGTTCTTTATTTACCACAGATACTTGATTTGAGTTTTCCGGTATTTAAGTTTAGGGTTTTTATGTTGAAATGAACAGCCATATATACTTTCTAAACATAGGAGATTACTGCAGGAGAAAGTAGCTATAATTTAATATTTTAAATATTGCATATAATTTATTTCTAGATCAAGAAAGAAGGCATAGTCTGTAATTCTGTTTATAATTCCTTCCATCCTCAAACAAAATAAATAAAATATTCAGCAGAAATAGAATTATTTGAGATTGACTACAATATTACAGCCTATAATGGGCATTTGATGTATTTTGTGTCTAAATGGTCAACTGTGTTTTTCCTGTTATTTTCTTTTGGTGTTATTGATGAGCAAACTATTTGCTCAATGTTAACATTAATTTTAGAAAATAGACCTAAATAATGTAGAAAACCAAGCTCCTGCAGGCTTTGGTCATTCAATAGCATGGTCTCTCTAAAGGGTACCACCTCTCACTTCTTTTTCAAGGAAGGGCATGCTGAGCCAAAGGGATCTCCTTATGGACACTCTTAGGCTCTGCTGATATGTGGGGACATCCTCTGAAGTACTGGTGCTTTCCAGACTTAACTTACCCACTTAAAAGTTACATATTGTACAGCAGGATCCTAACTAGCAGAACTCGGTGAAGAAGAAAACACAATATTAGTTTGAGAATATTTTATTTAAATTGTAGAGTGGATAAAATACATGAAAACAAAGTTGGTGCATCTCCTAAAAGAATTCTGAGATTCAAGAGTTGATTAGAAATGCATAGTTAGGACCTGCAGAGGAGAGATGGGTGCTGTGTTAAAAATGAGAACACTGTCCTTTCCAAAAAATAGTTATTCTAAGCTAAAATATGATCCATCACTTTTTTTCTGCAGCCCTGGGATGGACTCAGCAGTATATTTTCCAGATCAGCACATCAACTTCAGATGTGTGACACCAGCCAGACAGCCTGAACCGATGAGTCTGAAAGCCTCAAAGAGCATGGACCTTGGTAAGTGAGGGCGAGGTGACATCCAGGTCAGCTCTTCAGCCTCACCCCATCTGTCTTTTTCAATGGCCCGCCATTGTTTCTTCAACTCCCACCTTAAGGGGCAAGGTCTGCTGAACTTGAAGGAGGGGAAACTGTCAGCCCATCTTTCTGTCTCTTCTTACACATTTAATCGTAATTACCTCCTTTTAAAAGAGAGATAAATGATTTATTTTTATAAAGTTTATAGGTCAGGAAAATATGATTATTCCTTCCAGAGTATCTGAATGCCATAACTCATGGGCCCTGTAATTGTGCTCTCATTTCTGCCAGTGTGTTTCCATTTCTTATGTACATACCCATTGCAGGGCCTGAGAGATAATGTGGTTAAATAAATCCTCTTCCATGGGGCTTCCCATCTCTGTGTGCAATGGATGAGTTGGGAGCAATAATGAAGATCCATCTCTTTAAATGCCCATCTCCAAATCTTGTGACACTGGAAGAAAGAGGGGTCTCTGGGTTTGCCAGATTGAGGGTGTCCATGCCTGAACAATCTTATTGAGATTCTGGACACCACAGGAAATGTTTGGTAAGCTGCCAGGGATCCCCTGCACACTGGGTTCTCCACCCCTTGGAATGTGAGACCCTAGAAGATATGTCAGATACTCAAGAACATTGCTGCCCTCCCATGGGCTCTTGGGAGAAAAAAGAAATATATATTAGGAAAGAGTTTGGCTACAAAATAAAGTCTCAAGAAAATATTCTTTGCTTCCTTAAAGCTGAGATGCTTAAAGACCAAGCTTTGCTAATGTTTTTTTTTCCAGAGATATATTACATATTTCATTAGTTGTAACAAGAAAATAGAATAATCAAAACTGCGTGTTCTACAAAACAATCTGATAAATAGTGTTTATCTGTTACTCATTTACAGGAGTTCAGAAAAATGTTCAGTCATGATAAACCAAGAGAAATTGATTCTATCTTCTATAAATTAACTAGATAGCTGGGGTACATTTACTCTAATCATCTGTAGTAAAAGATGGATAGAAAGCTTCACCAGAATGCTGTGTTGAGCACTGGTCAGAAAGGGTATTTTCTCAAGCAAAAAACCTTTGACAAATAAAGAAATAATATGTGTCAGTGATATAAGTTAGTACTAATAATTTAAAAAGCAATTTAGTTTTGTACTGTGCTTAATAAACAACTCCTGTCTTCCCAATCTCTGTATGAAGAAGACAAATAGAAATTGCTCTCAATTTGGGGGGAGAAGTATATTCCTGTGTTCCTGATGTAATTTTAAAAAAGTGCCCCATACTATAGATCTTTAAAAAAATCACTGCAAAAGGAGCACTCATTTTCATTTAGAATGAAAGAATAGTATGAAATGCATAAAAAATAAAAGCTAAGTCATGCTCAGAACCAGCATTTCTATTTATATATATTTTTTGTTACTGAAAACTTCATTTTTTGAGTTTTCTGTTTGAAATTGAAATAGCCCTTGCAAATTCTGTCTGGTTGGCAGTCACTCAGTGTGTTTCATTGTACTTATACACAAATGCCACAATAATAGTAACGTTTGGTCAGTTTACATAATTGGCAGAAGTCGTGAGCTATTTTCTTCAGGATGCAAGTGTTGAACAAAAAAGTATTGACTAAAATGCACTGTACAGCAGAGATGATAAATATGGTGTAAAAACATTTTTAAAATAAACCATCAAAGTTTGGTCCTTTCCAGGTAATGTCAATTTAAAACTAACAATCTTGCAGATTGCTCGGAAGGTCAACATGCTAAGACTATTCTGATCCTCTAGCCCAGAAAAACTGAATGAGCTCAATAATATGTTGCTTTTCTTAAGGAATAAACTCAGATGATAGATAAATGGTAAGCATTTAGAAATGGCTTTCCTATTTGACTGCAGGAATGGAATAGTGTCCATAGTTTAGTTTTCCACACATAGCACTGAGCTAATGTAAGAAATTTGTGTATTTGCTAGAAAGACTGAAGACTATGCTTGTAGGAATAATCTCAGTAGGGTCAAGATCCAGTCTTCAAAAGATTTAAAAAAAAATTCTGAAGCATTTAGGTTGAATACCAAATTAGTGCTATTTGATTATTTTTGACCTAGAAAAATAGCAGTTCATATGGTTCAAAATAAAAAAGATAAAATCTCCTATTAATTTATATTCCTCCTTTATAAAGTCTCCTTTATAGTAATCTTCAAAGGCTAAAAGGCTCCATCAGTTTCTTTGTTTTTTGTTTCATTTTTGCTACTGAACTAGTATTTTAAAGTTAAATTTGACATAAAAGTTGAAGTTGATGAGTCATTGTTCATATGTTTATATTTTTTAAAGCTGAGAGGGTATCGTTTACTTATTTTCACTTATACTTGTAAAGATAGAAAATTCTGATTGTGCAAAAGAAAACCTTCTCATCCCTATCTCCTTCCCCTAGCCCAGACATAAACATATTGAATATTTTAAAATAGCTTTCTATTTATATCCTTCTAGAAAGCATTCTACCTATTTGCTCCCCCAGTTGTGTATGTCTGTACTGTATGTTGTATTTCTTTATAACAGTTGTATAGTGTTAATATGAATGGATCTTGTTTTAAGTATACTTTTGCCCTTTCAATTGAATTTAAATATAATTGGTAGTTTTGAGATGTTTTGTTTTGTTTTGTCTTGTTTTAGAGAGTATTTCCTACTCTACCATTGGCTTTCGTATTACAACTTTTGCCAATGTTTCAATTTGTTAATTCTTACCTTTCATCTTTAGAATATTGTAATATACGTTGCAAATCACTCCTCATAATCTATTATAGTTCTTTTTAGTTTGTGATATTTTTCAAGCATAGTTTCTAGCTCTAGTCAAATATTTTCATATTTATTTTCTTTTAGGAATTTTGGGTTTTATATTATCCAACTTATTTTCTTCTAGTACATTGAAAGTCTTGTGGGGGTCCCCCCCATGTTTAACAATCTAAATATATTTTTAGCCATGGTATATTGGGTCAAATTTTTTTTTCTGTGTAAATAGGCAAATTATTTAAAACTTTTAATGATTTTTACAATCCTTTCCTCATGAATTTAATATGTAGTCACATTGAGTACTAAATTCTCTTGCATACATAGCTTGGTTTCTCAATATTTTCTATCTGTATATTAGTCTGGCCTATGTCAACATCACCCTTTTTACATTATCATGCTATCACATTTTATTTTGATAACTCATAGGACAAATTTCCTCTGATTTTTCATTTTTTGCAAAATTTCATTGCCTCTTCATATGTATTATTGACCCACATGAACTTTAAATCAACTCATGAAAATGAATTTAAATACTAAACATGAATGCTTCTACTGTGTGTTTTGTGTATATAGACCTCCATTCATTATAATGTTTGCTGTTGATTTCTGGTAGGATGTTTTTAACAAGTTAAACAAGTTTCTTTGTATTCTTTGCTTCTTTAAAATGTCTTTTTTTTTAATTTGCACATTTTGTTGAATCAGGAATAGAAGTTGAATTTTATTAAGTGATTTTATAGATTTTTATAGGATGGCCATATATATTTAATTCTTTATTCTATTAATTTAGTGAGCTATAGTAATATATTGCTGAATATTAAATCACTGATTCTTTCTGAATGACTGAATTTCTTGCTGCACTGTGAAAAGGTAGAAATAGTAACATGTTATCTGCTCTGAAACTTAGGTATAAAACTCTGATTACAGTTTTATTCAATGTCATTAGCTCTGAGAGATCCATTACAGTTTTTTTAAAGTCTATTCTGCCTTAATATTTTGGGGATACTTTTGCTGGTATGTGTATGGTCATTTTTAATTCAAATCAAGAAGACAAAAATGATGAATAAAGGGAAATTTATTTTTAAATAATTAGATGTAACTATGCTTACTCAGAGAGGTTAGGGTGTCATTTTCTGGGTTTTCCAGAAAATCAATCTTTTCCTTCTAATTGTAGACTTTCCTCTATTTATTTAAATTACCAGAATTACAATGTTCAGTCTGGATCCCTTTAATTTGTTCATAATTGAGCTATGTGGGTGTTGAGTTGGAAGCTCTCAGGAGCTGAATAACACAGCTGCCTCTTTGGCCTTTGGCATAGGGTTTTCCCCCAAAGAGCTGCCCTTGTTGGCAGTATGCCAGAGAGTTACATACAAAGACTTTTTGATGAGGCATAAACATCTTTAATTTCTAGTCCTGGTGTTTTATGATCCAGTAATATCATTTAAGAATTAGTCTGAATTATTCAAAGCACAACACTTCAATATTTTGGCTAATTCCTTGACCTAAGATCTAGCGCATTCAAAGTTAAGTTTAAAGAGCTACTTCCCATAATATTTTTTTGAGAGAGAAGAGTTTTCTCTCCTTTTTCATATTGGCCACCACTCCCCACTCAGAAGAGTTTTCTGTAATATATTTAGGAGAAAACCAAGGGCAGTGCAGATGGAAGATGCTGGCCAGCTGTCCTGCCCCTGCTCAATAAGAGGAAATGAGCTTAAAGTGATGCATGAGACATTCAGACACAATTTTAGGAAGTTTCCTGACAAAGAAGATTGTTAACATTCCATGTCTAGCACACTTTAAAAAGTATGTGTGTCTTGAATGATTGTCCCTAAAACCAAGATTATAAATTGACTGATTTTCTTAACAAGATCTGTGATTCAGCAATTTGCTTTCTGTGAGTTGCTTGCTATGAATTCGTTTTAATATAGAAAATGTTTATAGACACCCACAGTTGAAGTAAATTATAAATCAATTAGTTTCTTATATCAGCAATGGTAAACAGTTGGATCATGTTTTGAATACAACTCTTTCATCCACCTTAGGCTGTCCTCTTAGAGTAATCAAGTATCTCTAGTATCAGAGCAAAGATGAGCTTGAGAAAAGTAAATTCACTCCACTCTATTATTCTAGTACTTTCTTTTTTGATTATTTTTATGTTGTTAAGTATTTCCACCCCCATTCTTACTAATAAGATAAATATCCTGAACACTGAATACATA